GGCAGCACGTGTGTATAAAAGCTGTGAAAAAAAACGACCCAGGTAGTTTGAGTGCTATACGTTGAACCTGATCAGTGGGACACAGGATGGTGGCATGAAGCACCCGGTAACAATGATTAATGGATAGTTCTCACCAGCTATTGTTGTAGATGCACATTTAAGGTAGTAAGCAGCTGAGACCAACTTAAAGCTCAAGGCCCAAATTGCACAAGATTAGTAATCTTGTGCAAGGTTGGGTGTTGGGTTTAGGGTTTAGGGTTGATGAACGCGAAGTTCTGGGGGCACCGTATGTTTGGGGACCGAGAGTCCCGAATTGCAGAGTTGAGAAACTTGCACTGTAACCAATCGGATTGCTTCCAAAACTTCCGAAACCAATCAGATTGCTTCTACACCTTCTGTAACCAATCAGATTGCTTCACACGAAGAGAGCACAAAAAACGCGAAGTGTGCAAGAATAGTAATCTTGGCCCGCGCGGTCCGCAATTTGGGCCTTGAGCTTTAAGTACAGTCTCACGTGTATTGTTCACAAAAATAGGTGAGTTATTGAGAAGGACATGGTCAGTCAGACTCATGCATGCGGCATTGCCCACCCAGCCCCAAGTTTTCATGACTCGATCCGTCCAACCAGCCACACGCAATCAAGTCGGTGGAGAGTCCTCTTCTTACTGTACAACACTGTAGTCTCTCAATAACCGTACACACATTCAGCTTTGTCCGGGCACGGGCTGCATTGAATGACAAGTGTTGTGTGCATCGGGCAAACCGCCGTAACTGGCACCCTCCGATCTTTAATGATTCGGCTCTGTGGAGCAGAGTGGTGTCGCTTTGGCCTGGGATTTTGGTTGCTGAAAGTTGTAAGCGCAAGAATCTCATGGGAGCCTTTATGTGTAGTTCTGTACTGGAAGGTTGGGTTGGAGTCACGAAAGCATGCACTGCATCCTGAAGTTGCTAAACTTGGTGGGCAGGGTTAGCAGGTGCTTTGAGTGGGTGGAAAGAGAGGAGGACTTGCCACCCAGGGAAACCCACCATTCTCCCAGGGCCATTCTTGGCTCGTGTCAGATGAGGGTGAGACACGAAGTGGAATCTCGGAAGACCCGAAGTGACTGACTCACTTGGTGACTTCCGAACCTCCAACTTCGTGTCCGACACGAGAAAAGAATACCCTAGGAGTTTCGGGGAATAGCCAAATCAGACTCGCAACAAAAGTCCCACAAGTTTTCTGCTGTACACGAAAATACTCAGGGTTCCGGAAATAAATGTACACCCATTTGAATAGATTCCTAACGTATTTCAAAACCGATGGTTGTTCGGATGACTTCAAATGTGAAAAGACAGTTTCAGTCCCCCGATTACGAATACTGGACTCAAAGATGGTCGCAACTCCATGCGCTGTGGTCACAGAGTGGTTTCTGCTGACAATATCAGAATACATACTTTCTGGGGGTTGTTCGATAAGGCCACGAAGTTTAGGGTGTCACATGAGAATGATTACTCAGCGAAAAATGTAGGTGTACTTTCACCATGACCACGGACACCCGCGATATGCATTGCACTTGACATGACAGTCCAGTCTTCGTGGTTACTGCCAGCAAAGCATCGTCCCCTCGCAACGACCAACCAGCAAACCCCACCAATGATGACAGCGCACCACATTTCTGGAGTCCATCCATGAGGATGGGGGACGGTCCTACTGTCTGTTGAGATACAGTATATCATTCAGTGTTCTGCGCCGGTCGCATCGCTCACAGCCGCTTTGCACCATAATGAACAAGGGCATCACCTCACCACCACCACCACCACCACCATAGAACGTGAATGCCAACGACGAACGCATGAATCTTGGAGGTGATGGGTGAGACGATGGCCGTGAGCTCGAAATCCCAGAATTCTGTTGTCCTCCCTCTAGTACACCCTCTTTCGCGCTAGTAGAGCATCTGGTTGCAGAACCTACACGGGTTGTAGAACGTCACCACGTTCAGAACGGTCTTGTCACCAACTGTACAAGCACAACGCGACGAACGCGGTTAGGTGAGGTGATGCACGTTACCAACAGATTTGTCAGCGTTTTCGTTTGGTTGGATAAGGTATACAGCGATAACGGAAATTTTACGCCCTTGAGCCAGTTTGTCACATGGTTCGGCTTTTCCCCCCAGGTTGTTAGGAATGTTTTATGGCACCTGACCGCACGAGACAAGTACTGTTGCAACGAGTCGCGATAGGTGAAAATGTTGAGAAAGAGGGTGTATCGACTTGTTGTTCGGTTAGGTTCGGTCAGTAGGAGGGAGGTGAAATTTCACAGCTCTTTTTTGGAACTGTTGCATTCTAACACCCACAGTAGAGAATCAGATATATCCACGCTGTGTGTGGTGGTGGATGCAGTCATGACGTGAGAGTGTTCCAGAATCCAGATACTGACTAGACCGAAAAAACTCAAGGACACAGTAGTAGCCACCTGTAGACCCGAAAAAACTCAATGACTAATACTTCCGCTGCTTGAAAAATGGGCCTCAGTAGAGTAGGTGTGAAAACTGTTAAGTGTGAAGGACGTTTTGTGTAGTGGGCAAGCACACTCCAGCACCCTGATTGAAGCAAGTACCGTTTGGGACGGGTATTATTGAAACTAAACTTTGTAGCAGAACTTGGACTGGAGCAGACCTGCTGATGCCATCCACAAGTGCGATCAGCGGGGCAAAGCAGTGTCCATCCACCCACAAAGATTTGTTTCCGGGCATGCCTTTATAATCTGGATATTAACTAAAACTCAACTAGACAGAGAATACAGATGTCAGTTCAGAAACAATTTGCCCTAAGTCTCGGATCTCCTGAACCAACAGGCCACTTTGGCCGTTAACCATCTCACAGGAGTGCCTACATAAGTGACTTGGTTCATTGTTGGAACATATATTCCAAACCCAGATTCAAGCTTTCGAAGTTCTTCCAAAGTATCATCTATGATCCGGGAAAATATATATCCCGGGTCGACCGTACTCGTTCCTAAGGGCATTCACCCCACCCCTGCTGCACCTGCTGTGGCGCTTCTTGCTGCACCAACACTCTGTTCACAACAACAGCCACAGGCTGTCCATTTTTCTGGTGCTGAGAATAGACTACATAGAACTTCAGCCGTGAAAGAATTCTTGTGTGTACTGTATGTGGTTCCGTGACTGTCGGTGTTTCTTGCATGCAGTCTCATTCAAAGTTCCCCAAAAACATGTTTCTCACGTGCATCTCCATTCGAATGTTCCCTTTCACTGTGCAATGACGACCTCGCTGTATTCGTTACCATTTTTTAAAGAGCTTCTTTACTTACGCCAAATACCAACTCGTCGACAATGGCAGAGGCGAGGACTCTCGACCACAGCAATAACGACACCGGCGCTGCCGCCAGTTTGTTACCGCGACGGAGAGTAAACCTTCGCTAAGTCTGGAAAAAGCGTTCTCAGTCGACCTCAGCCGACACGCCGTTCTCGCAGGCCGCAGGACTCGCCGTAAATGCCACAATGATCGCAATCGATTCGCGACATCACGGCGGTCATCGTCATCACGTCGATGGCGACGGCTATGGCGACCGAGTCGCGGCCTGTGCCGACCGAGTCGTCGATGGCGGCTGGCCTTCTGCGGCGACGTCAGACGACTCGCGGTTCCCCCCGTCGTCGAGTCACCGTCAAATGCGGCTTCATCCACCAGTGAACCCCGAGTTCCACGGCCGGCGCGAGGAGGATCAGTCGTTAGATTTCGAATCGCCGTTATACCCCGAATCGCCGTTACTAAAGTGCGAATCACCGATATACTACGGATTGCCGTTAAAATACTCAGCGCGACACTTATCGCACCTACTATCGTCGGGGGGCTCCGATTCTCGATCCCTTGTCGACTTCGGCGGCGCTTTTAAGGATCGCGATATCTGTAGCGATGCACCTGCTACCACAACGAGCAGTACGATTTCAAAGGTATTTTGTAAAATATTAGACAATACACCTACTACTATTAGAACTAGCAGCACAGAGACGGAAACTAGGTTCTGTGCTACGACTACTAGTGCAAAAACGGAGATTAGGCTTCCTCTTAGCGATACTCATAGTAGCAGTAGCAGCAGCAGTGGTAGTAGCCGTAGTAATAGTAGCCGTAGTAATAGAAGCTGTAGTATTAGTAGCCGTGATAGTAGTAGTACAGAAATTGAGTTGCTGGGTCGACGTTGCGGTTCTGTCCGGACCTCAAAGGCTCGGCGCGCTGCGAACAGCTTCCCATTTTTTCACGGAACCCGCTGGAATGCCGGCGCGTTCACGATGACATGGCTGGTACTGTTGCTGATGTGCCAGTGGGCAGTTTTACGGACGACCGTGGGAGCAGATGTCGCGGAGGGTACGGCGGTGGGAGGAAGAAATCCCGTGAAGAGCGGTGACTGGAGCTTCGAACCCCTGGGAAGCAGTGACAGTGCTGAGAGGAGGAACTTCGGCGATGCTCGCCGGGCAAGCATTTACAGGAGTTCCTTAAATTCCCAAAATCTCCAAATTTCCCAGCGCGAAGCTCGGCGCGCATCTCTAGTCGAGGAGGCGTCATTTTTTTCGTCGACGGTTCATCCGCAATTTAGGTTTCATGGAGCCTTGCACTACCAGGACCGCCAAGCCGATTCGTCAACGACGCTGTTACCACTCGATGGCAAAATTCCTTCGCAACAAGTCACTCCGGTTGCAGCACCCTCGCGCCAATCGCCGCGCGCGACGAACGAAGCTGCTTCTTCGGTTTCGTCCCAACCTGTTTCGGACCTAGCCGCGTCGCCGTCGATCACGATTGGCTGCCTCGTGCCTGTGGATCTCACCCCCGACAGCGTTCACATGCTTGCCGGTATTACCAAGGGGGGTTTCGGTGGATTAGTCCCAGAATGAGTTCTACAGTGCTATAGTGCTACGCTATGCTGACCTTCACGCAATCCTTCCCCGCACGCTGATATTTCCCCCACGCCGTCCTCTCCGCTTACTTCCCACACCTCCCTCCGCCAGCCGTGACTCTAGCGGTGGGTGAAATCAACCTGTCGAAGACTTTACTGCCCAACCACACGCTGCTGCTCGCGGCGCTCAATTACACCACGCAGCCCGTTGCGGGGCAGATGGCAGGTGCGGCGGGGATCCGTTATGGGGGGTGAATGGCATGTGGGCGGGCTCACTCACGCGCCATCCATATGTGCGTAGGCATGGGGGCGTGCGCTGCACTGCATGTGTGCGGGTACGGGGATATGGCGCACATCCATCCAGCCATCATTCCAGCCAGCTCACCTCAACTCACTCACACTCCTCCAACCCAGCTACCCTTCTGCCAATTCAAAATCTGGTGTCCCACAGCAGGACTAATATCTCCTGCTGTTTCCCACCCCCCCCTCCTCCCCCTCCCCTCCCCCTTCTCTCCCGCCCCCTTTCCCCCCAACCTCCGCTTTCCCCCCTGTGCTCCGCCCAGCGCTCCAGCTGGCGGCCATGGAGCCGCTGCCAGTGGCGGTGGTGATTGGGCCCGCAAGGCGAACCCGGCTCCTCTGCCCAAACAACCCCTTCTCCCCTCCAACCCCACCTTCTCTCCCTCCTCCCCCAGCGCTCCAGCTGGCGGCCATGGAGCCGCTGCCAGTGGCGGTGGTGGTTGGGCGCGCAAGGCGGACCCGTCGCCTCTCCCTCACGCAACTCAGACCAGGCAGCTCTGCCCAAACAGCCCCTCCCTCACCCACCCCACCCCGCCCTTCCCTCCCCCTCTCCTTCGCTCCCCGCAGCCCTCCAGCTAGCCTCAATGGATCCTATGCCCGTGGCGGTGGTGGGACCGCGCAACTCGGACCAGGCCGCGCTGGTCAGCCCCCTGGCGTCGTTCGCGCAGGTGGGCAGGGATGCGCGGATGGGGGCAGGGATGCGCGGATGGGGGCAGGGATGCGCGGATGGGGCCAGGGATGCGCGGATGGGGGCAGGGATGCGCGGATGGGGCCAGGGATGCGCGGATGGGGGCAGGGATGCGCGGATGGGGCCAGGGATGCGCGGATGGGGCCAGGGATGCGCGGATGGGGGCAGGGATGCGCGGATGGGGCCAGGGATGCGCGGATGGGGGCAGGGATGCGCGGATGGAGGCAGGGATGCGCGGATGGGGGAAGGGATGCACGGATGGGGGCAGGGATGCGCGGATGGGGGCAGCGATGCGCGGATGGGGCCAGGGATGCGCGGATGGGGGCAGGGATGCGCGGATGGGGGCAGGGATGCGCGGATGGGGGCAGCGATGCGCCGATGGGGGCTCCGGTGAGTGTGGCGAGAGATGCGAGACTTGATTTCATATGAGTGACATGACGTGTGTGTCGGACGGAGAATGACTGACAGAGAGAGCCTTATGACATGCTCCCTCTTGTCTCGGTTTCCGCTTGCAGCAACCTGCTGCTAACTCTCTCTCCCAACCGCCCCACCCACCCACCCTCCCCGCCGCCCAGATCCCCTTTGTGTCGCCGTCCGCCACGGACGTGCGGCTGACAGCGGGCGGCGACCGGCCGTACTTCATGAGAACCATCCACAACGACGGCATGGACATGCGCGCCATTGCAGGTGACTGTGGTGGAAGTGACTGTAATGAAAGTAACAATGGCAGGGTCACACACGCCATTGCCAGTGACCGTGATGGAAGTGAGTTTACTAGGAGTGACTGCAGCGGAAGTGACTGTAACGAAAGTAGAGATGGTGTAGACACGCGCGCGCCATTGCAGGCAACTGTAAATGGTAGAAGTGGCTGTAACGGAGGTGGTGGTTCCAGCAACATTCGGTTCCCGTGCTCATTATCCAAGTAGAGTCATTCATTTCAGGGAGTTTTTGAGAATTCTAAAAAACTCCCTCCAGCAACATTCGGTTCCCGTGTTCATAATCCATGTAGTAATTCATTTCGCTGCCATCTGTCGATAACCATTCGCTTGCCCGTCCATTCACCCGTGCGTGCACATCCTCGGACGTGCAGAGTTCCTGGCGTTCAACAAGTGGAGCGAGGTGATCGTCATTCACAGCGACAACCGCTTCGGCCGCAACGGCATCGCGTCACTCAACGGCTATCTCTCCGTACAGGAGGTACACCCTCATCCCATCTCGCCTAACCCTTTCATATGCATACTCTCTGTGGACGGCACTTCTCTACAATTCTAACGAATTTGGCTATACTGAGTACACACTATGCTGTGGTTATTCTCCACGCCTCCCACTGTAGCACACACACGCATGTTTGAAGACCGTACACTTAGCTGATTCAGTTCCCATGTCCCTCCGCTATGCCTCACTCCGCTGCTTCTGCCCTTGTTTCTCCCCAACCCTCGTGCTCTCATCCCAGCAATGGAAGGTCAGGATCGCGACACGTGTGCCGATCAAGACGACATGGTCGGTGGCGGACACAGCAGCAGCTCTGGCGGCGGTGGAGCGGCTGGATCCGGCGGTCTTTGTGGTGCATGCTGCTGCTGCCCTCTGCGCTGTCATCTTCGCTGCTGGTACGCTCCCTGCTGCCCTCTGCTGTGCCTAGTTCTTCCGCTGCTACCACTGCCCTCTGCTGCTGCTGCTGCTGCCTCTGCTGCTGCCTCTACTGCGTTGAGTCGGTCTGAAACACACCTGCTGCTGCCCTCGTGAGTCGACGCAAAGGACAGCAGGCAGCAGCGCTGGCGGCGGTGGAGCGGCTGGATCCGGCGGTCTTTGTGGTGCATGCTGCTGCTGCCCTCTGCGCTGTCATCTTCGCTGCTGGTAGGCTCTTTGCTGCTAATGCTGCCCTCTGTTGCTGCTGCTGCCTCTGCTGCTGCCGCCTCTGCTGCTGCCGCCTCTGCTGCTGCCTCTGCCTCTGCTGCTGCCTCTGCCTCTGCTGCTGCTTCTGCTGGTGCTGTTTTGGGTCGATTCAAAACACGCCTGGTGCTTCCATCTTTCCACATCCCCCCCTCCTGCGACATCCCCCCCTCCTGCCACGGTCCCCGCCTCTCACGTGCATGCAGCGAATCAGATGCAGCTGGTTGGGAAGAACTCGGTGTGGGTGGCATCGGAGGGGGCGGCGCTGGTCAATTCCACCGTGCTGCAGAACGTAGAGGTGAGGTGGCGCCTGGGGTAGGTTCGCCTGGAGTAGGGCGGCCTGGTTAGGGGCGCCTGGGGTAGGGCGGCCTGGTTAGGGGCGCCTGGGGTAGGGGCGCCTGGGGTAGGGGCGCCTGTGGTAAGGGCGCCTGGGGTAGGGCGGTCTGTTTAGGGGTGCCTGCAGAACGTAGAGGCGAGATGGAGCCTCGTATCCCTCTCACCCTGCTCACATCTCACTCACTCCCCTCATGCACCTCTCACTCTTCTCATGCCGCTCACGCTTCTCATACCCCTCTCACTCGTCTCGTACCCTCACTCACTCTCATCTCATAACCCTCACACCCTCTCTCTCACTCCCCTCACACCCGCTCACTCCCCCCACACCCTCTCACTCCCCTCACATCCATGCCACCACCAGGGCATGGTTATCACATCGACCTACCTCCCTCCATCTCCGCGTCTCACCTCGTACCACTCTCATTCTTCTCATACCCCTCTCAACCCACACACACACCTCTCCCCCTCACACCCTTGCCACCACCAGGGCATGGTGATTACCTCCACCTACCTCCCTCCATCGCCGCGCCTCACCTCGTTTCGGGAGAATTGGGCCAACCTGAACCCCATACGCTTCCCCAACGCTAGCAAGGAGGTGAGTTCGTCTCGAAACCTTTTCCAGCAGAGAGTGGAAGCCATTTCGTGGGTCCCTTAGTCAGTCAGTCAGTCAGTCAGTCAGTCAGTCAGTGAGTGAGTGAGTCGGTCAGTCAGTCCTGCACCCTGGCAGCCTGTTACACCTCTTACCCCGCCATCTCTCCTCCCTGATCTATAGCAGCACCAGGGGCTTCCAGTAGGGAAAGCGAGCTCTCTCAGCTTCAAGCTGCCTTCCTTTCTTTCCCCTCCTCTCCCTCATCTCCCTCCTCACGCCTCCCTCCCCCCCAGGAGCCCAAGTCGTACACACTAGCAGCATACGACGCCACGTACCTCATAGCGTGGGGGCTGCACTCCCTGCTCTATGGCAACCACAGCACCGCCGCCACTGGCAGCACCAGCAGCAGCAGCAGCCTCACACAGTGCAATGCTGACCCTTCATCCCCTTCTCACTCACACATACACCGCCCACACCCGCCTCTATCACCCCCTTCTAACTCACTCCCTTCCCATTCACCCATACATCACCCACACCCGCCGCTATCACCCCCTTCTCACCCACACCCACCCCACGCAACCCCACCTGCCATAACCTCACCCTTCTGGCCGGGAACGGTGCGCTCCGCCGCCGCCGCCGCCGCCGCCGCCGCCGCCGCCGCCGCCGCCGCCGCCGCCGCCGCTGCTGCTGCTGGTGCTGCTGCTGGCGCTGCTGCTGGCGCTGTGGCTGGGGTTGGTGCCGGTTCTTCCACTCGTAGCACTGATGGTGCTGGTTGCAATGGTGCCACTGGCGCTGCTGGTGCTGAGACTTCGTCTCCCACTCTGCAAACGGACTACAGAGGCACGGTCAAGAGGGAGCTTCCTTGGCAGCTGCGTGGAGTGAAGCGGAGCTTGGGTGAGTGCATGCACACAATAAGAGGAGCTTGGGTGAGTGCATGCACACAATAAGAGGAGCTTGGGTGAGTGCATGCACACAATAAGAGGAGCTTGGGTGAGTGCATGCACACAATAAGAGGAGCTTGGGTGAGTGCATGCACACAATAAGAGGAGCTTGGGTGAGTGCATGCACACAATAAGAGGAGCTTGGGTGAGTGCATGCACACAATAAGAGGAGCTTGGGTGAGTGCATGCACACAATAAGAGGAGCTTGGGTGAGTGCATGCACACAATAAGAGGAGCTTGGGTGAGTGCATGCACACAATAAGAGGAGCTTGGGTGAGTGCATGCACACAATAAGAGGAGCTTGGGTGAGTGCATGCACACAATAAGAGGAGCTTGGGTGAGTGCATGCACACAATAAGAGGAGCTTGGGTGAGTGCATGCACACAATAAGAGGAGCTTGGGTGAGTGCATGCACACAATAAGAGGAGCTTGGGTGAGTGCATGCACACAATAAGAGGAGCTTGGGTGAGTGCATGCACACAATAAGAGGAGCTTGGGTGAGTGCATGCACACAATAAGAGGAGCTTGGGTGAGTGCATGCACACAATAAGAGGAGCTTGCGCGATGCCACCAATCACTAGCTAACATTCTTATTGTTGTTATTGTTATTATATTAAAAAAAAATGAGCTTGCAAGAGTAGCTTGTGTGAGGCCGCCGTAACGTAAGTGAAGCTTGTTCACAGTTATTGGAGCTTGGCGCCTGGTCACTGATCCGTGGCTCAGCCCGCCGGCCTTAGCGTCTATCTGTTGCCATCGTCCTTCTCCAACAAGGTGACTTTTGAGTCGACTCAAAAGTCGCCTTAGCGTCCATCTGTTGCCATCGTCCTTCTCCAACACTTGCACTTGCACTCCTCGTCCTGGTGTCATGCCTGCAGTGCTTTTTGAGGCGCCTGAAAATCAACTCTTAATCCCCTCTTTCTGACTTCACGCCTGCAGCGAGCTGCATTCCCCGACAGCTAGCCATGCTGTCAGCCACCCTCCATGGGTTCAGAGGGCGTGTTTTGAGAAACAGGCTTGCAACTTCCCCTGTTGCCTTGCCTCCTCTCGTTGTCTCGCGGTGTTCCACTCCTCTCCTTACCTTCCTCCTTGTCTCCCCGGCCTTTCTCCGCTCCACAACTCCTCTCTCCCTGCTCGTTCACGTGTGCAGTGGGCCCCTTGCTTCGCCAAGCCATGCTGTCAGCCACCTTCGATGGGGTTCGGGGCAGGTGAGGATCTGATCCAAGCTTCCAGCAGGGTAGCAGCGAATCCTGTTTCGGGTCATGGGGTTCAGAAAGACCCACGTAGCCTTCCTTTCACGCGTGCAGTCGCGCAGTGATCCCCCATGCCATGTTCTCTGACTAGCCACGTTGTCAACTTGTCAGCCACCTCTGATGGGGTCTGGGGCAAGTGAGGACTTTTGAGGCGTTTCAAAGTGGGGTCAGGGTCAGGGGCATGGCAGGTTGTCTGACTAGCCACGCTGTCTGCCACCTTTGATGGGGTCCGGGGCAGGTGAGGATCCAAGCTCGTAGCGGAGCGGGATAGCAACAAAATCTGGACTAGACTGTCGAAACAACAAGAGAACGAAACTCCTACTGGCACGGTCAACGCAACAAGAGAACGAAACTCCTCCTGGCACGGTCAACGCAACAAGGTAGCTGCGGCCTGCAGTCGAACGTGTCTCGCATCCTCACCATTTCCATTTCCCATCCTCGCATGCTCCCATCGCCGCAACCCCCGCAATGCCCAGCCGGCCGGTACCCCCGCCTCGTGTTTCTCAAAACACGCCCGTCCTCCTAAAGGCATTGCCGAAACATGGGATGATTTCCACCCATCCGCCCCACACCTCCGGAGTGGCTCTCAACACAAATGGCGACCTGCACTCGAACGTGAATCATCGTCTCAGCTCAGCCTATCCACTCCTCCCATTCCCTCATTCAACCCTCCTCTCCTCCCGATGACCCCCTTCTGCCTCGGTGTTTGTACCAATCCTGCCTCCCTATCCTCCAGGATCTCACTCAACTCGCACGGAGACCTGCAGTCCAACGTGATTCGCATTCTCAACGTGCGCAACGGCACCGCTGTGGAAGTCGGCTTCTGGACCTCCTCGCTGCTCCTCACGCCCTCCCTTGATGTACGATCCCTTTTGAGATTCGCCCGTTTGTGTGAAATTTTAAGTAGATTCTGCAATGGGGCCTTCTTTGATGTATTCCTGGGAAAGGGGCCTCCCTCGTGACTCAGGACCTCCTCCCTGCAACTCACGCCCTCACTTGATGTATTCCCTCCTTGATGTATACATGCGTCCCTCGATGTATTCCCTCCCTCGATGTATACATGCCTCCCAGCATGCGCAAAGACCCCCATTTCCTCCCAAGCTACATCTTGAGAAGGCTCCAGTGGCCCCTTTTGTGTCTGACTCCTTTGTTTGTTGTCGCATCGCATGCCTAGCCTAGTGTGCCGTGTGCATGTAGTTACCCCCCGTGAACGGCACATCACACGTTTCGAAACGTCTCAAAACTGTCACATCACATGCCTTCTGTGTGCTGTGTGCTGTGTGCTGTGCTGTGCTGTGCTGTGCCGTGCCGTGCCGTGCTGTGCTGTGCTGTGCTGTGCTGTGCTGTGCTGTGCTGTGCTGTGCTGTGCTGTGCTGTGCTGTGCTGTGCTGTGCTGTGCTGTGCTGTGCTGTGCTGTGCTGTGCTGTGCTGTGCTGTGCTGTGCTGTGCTGTGCTGTGCTGTGCTGTGCTGTGCTGTGCTGTGCTGTGCTGTGCTGTGCTGTGCTGTGCTGTGCTGTGCTGTGCTGTGCTGTGCTGTGCTGTGCTGTGCTGTGCTGTGCTGTGCTGTGCTGTGCTGTGCTGTGCTGTGCTGTGCTGTGCTGTGCTGTGCTGTGCTGTGCTGTGCTGTGCTGTGCTGTGCTGTGCTGTGCTGTGCTGTGCTGTGCTGTGCTGTGCTGTGCTGTGCTGTGCTGTGCTGTGCTGTGTCTGTGCAGCTACCCCCCATGAACGGGACATCACGCATGCTCAACATCACCTTCCCAGGCAATGCTACCAAGGTGCATCCCTACCGTTCCTCGCCTTTCTGACAATTCTCGATAGCTTCTCACTCACATCACATGCATCACCCTCCTCTCTCCTCCTCTTCCCTGCCCTGCTCCCTCCACCCTCCTTCCATTCACCCTCCACCCTCCTTCCATTCACCCTCCACCCACCTCCAATCTCCCTCCTCGCATCCCCCCATCACCCGCTCCCTCCACTCAACAGCCCCCTTCAGGCGCCTTCCCACGCCGCAAGCTGCTGCTAGCCGTGCCGTACAAGAAAGGCTTCCAGCAGTTTGTCAACATCACCCGCACCTCCTTCACCTCCTCCTCTGCCTCACCTACAAGCGAGACCTCCTCCTCCTCATCATACTCCTTCTCGGGTTTCACAGTGGAGTTGCTGCGCCTGGCCCTCAGCAAGCTGCCGTACCAAGCAGACTACGAGCTCGTGCCGTTCGGGGGGGATGGCGGCAGCAGTGACGGAAACGCTCCGGTGGGATACGATGACATGCTGCAGGCCGTGGCCGATGAGGTAATGGTGCCACCGTGGTAATTGTGGTAGAGGGGGTGTGAAGGGTGTTGGGCTTGTGCCGTTCGGGGGGGATGGCGGCAGTGGTGACGGGAACGCTCCGGTGCAGGTTTAGGGTTGCTTTTTGTGTTGCTCTTGAGACCTCTCAAAGGCGGTGGTGAGGATGGTGTGCGATGCGGTGAGGATGGTGTGCGATGCGACAGCGTGCTGCAAGTCATGAGACGATTATCTCATCTCTCATGACAGCTTGCACCTCAAAAATCGTCCCATGACTCGGAGGCGGTGGTGAGGATGGTGTGCGATGTGACAGCGTGCTGCAAGCCGTGGTAGACTAGACAAGGTAATGGCGGTAACTGTTTTATGTCTTTTTTACGTGGCTGCAATTTAGTTGATCCATCCAAGTCATATTTTTGTGTATATATGTTTGCACATCTGTATTTCTGTTCGCTGCTCACATACATCTGGCTCATTGCATCTGCATTGTGGGTGGCAGAAGTTTGACGGGGCCATTGGCGACATCTCAGTGACGCAGGCGCGGAGCAAGCTGGTGGATTTCACACAGCCCTTCATGGTTCGTTGCTCACGCTCTCGTCTTCATTTCTCACAGCCGTACATGGTGCATTGCTCAAGCTGTCATGTTCATACACTCTAAGTACCAAACATAAGATGAAGTAACGCACTGACTTTTAGTAGCAATCATATGGATAAGTAACGCATTTACACTTAAGTTTAAGTTACGCACTGATTTTTAGTAGCAATCATAAGGGTAAGTAACGCACTTACGCTTAGTGGCAAACATAAGGTTAAGTAACGCACTTACACTTAGTACCAGACATTAGTTTTGTAAGGCATTTACTCCTAGTACTTATCCAAGTAACGCACTTATTCTTAGTACACAACATCAGCTGTGAGTGTGATCGCCTACGTGCCACCTTCCAGCAGCTGGTGGATGCCACTCGCGCCCTTCAAACCTTTTCACCCCTTTCCAATCCGCTTCACCCCCCTCCAACCCCCTCCTAACCCTTTACAATCCCTCTCCACCCCTCCCAGGCATCAGCAGTGAGTGTGATCGCGTACGTGCCGCCCTCCAGCAGCTGGTGGATGGCACTCGCGCCCTTCACGCCCTCCATGTGGGCGGTGTTTCTCGGCATGACTTTAGCCACGGGGCTCATCACGGTCTTTCTCGAGTGCCGCCAAAACTTCGAGTTCCAAGGGAAATTGCACGAGCTGTTTCAGCACGCCCTCTGGTGAGTTGCCGCTTTCTGCTGGGTTGCTGTGCTAGCTTCAATGGCTGATGAATGGGTGGATTGTGTGTCACGAGTTGAATCAAAGCCACGGGGCTCATCACAGTCTTTCTTGAGTGCCGCCAGAACTTCGAGGTCCAAGGGAAGCTGCACAAGCTTTTGCAGCACGCCCTCTGGTGGGTTGGTCTGCCTAGGTTGACCAAGTAGACTCAAACCAGAACCCAGATTTCCAAGGGAAGCTGCATGAGCTGTTTCAGCACGCCCTCTGGTGGGTTGCCGCTCTCTGCTGGGTTGCTGTGCTTGCTATATTAGCTGGAGGGTGCGTGCGTACCTTGTGTTTCAAGCCAAATCAAAGCAGCACTTCGAGTTCCAAGGGAAGCTGCATGAGCTGATTCAGCACGTCCTTTGGTGGGTTCATCTCACCTTGATTGCAGCAGCACCCTCTGGTGGGTTGCTGTGCTTGCTTCATTCGCTGACATTAGGTGGGTGCCCAGTGCATTACGAGTCGATCCAAACCAGAACCCTGAGTGAAAAGGGAAGCTGCACCAGCTGCTGCAGCGCGCCCTCTGGTAGGTCGATCCCACCTTGACTGCAGCAGCACTCCCTCTGGTGGGTTGCAGTGCTTGCTTCATTGGCCGGGCAGCCATAGTTCGCTTTACACAGCCTTGTGGAGCTTTGTGCCAATCGCCTATCTTGTGGTTCCCCTGCCAATCAGTCCCTCCCTGTGTTGCTCTCATCCCTTCTCCCCACAGGTTCGGCTACCTCTCTATCTTCTCCTTCCTTGGTACGACCTCCATTGCTCCAACTCATCCCTCCTTCCTCCTCTCCACCCTCACTCTCATCCTCACTCGTACCCTCACTCTCACCCTCACTCTCATCCTCACTCTCCTCTTACTCGCACCCTCAACCTCACTCGCACCCTCCTTCGCAAACTCACTCGCACCCTCCTTCGCAAACTCACTCTCATCCTCACTATGTCCGCACCAGCCACACTCACCTTACCATTCAACTGTCGTGATATCGTTCTACCCGGTTCCCACCATACCTCTCCCAACTCCTTCACATGTCTCATTCTTCACTTCTTTCTCTCACACCTTCGTTCAGCCCCTTCTCCTCCTCCCCCTCCCCCTCCTTCCGCCCACACCTCGCCCCTTTTTCTCTCTTCCAGAAAAGCCGGTGCGGTCATTGATTGCACGGATAGTGCTGGCGCTCTGGCTGCTGGTGACCTTCGTTGTAGTCACGTCGTTCACGGCCAACCTGACGTCTATAATCACAGTCAACATGCTCACAGTGCCCTCACTGGACGTCAACAGTGTCATCAACGCCAACAACCCCATCGCCTATCAGGCGGGGTCGTTTATCGAAGGTTACCTCCTGCAGCTGGGCGTGCAAAAGGTACGAAGGGATGAAATAGGTCAAACAAACGTTCATCCAGGTATATTTTGAGTCGACTCAAACCACATTTGAGCCAAACCATTGGCTATCCATTAAGGCCTTTTATCAATTGCCACTTCGTATGGGCGTGCAGAAGGTAAGTCGACTTAAAGCTGCACCTCATGCACCAACCCCCCCTCATGCACCATCCCCCCCTCATGCACCCCAACCCCTCTCCCCTACCCTACCCTTTTCTGTTCCACGTTTCCTCTTTGTACCCCTTATAGCACAGAATGGTACCGCCTTGCAGTGCAAATGAGGGTCTGAAATGAAGCTGAAATCGCCCTTCTGCCCCACACTCCCCTCTGTACCCGTTATAGCACAACGCGGTACCGCGTAGCAGCGCAGAGGCGTTTTCAGAGTCGATTAAAATCTCTCCCCCACCTCCTTCTGCCCCACCCTCCCCTCCCGTGTCTGTACCCGTCGTTATAGCACATGGTAGCGCTGAGCAGCGCAGAGGAGATTCTTCATTCTACTGACGTTGCCCAATGTGTTGTGTCCCATGCTCCCTCTCTGTACTCGTTACAGCACAACATGGTGCCGCTGAGCAGTGCGGAGGAGTACAGCAGTGCGCTGGTGTCTGGGAGGGCGAGAGTGGTGGCGGTGGTGCTGAGAGCTAACCACTGCCTCTTCCCATCCCACACTCACCTGTCTATACCTGTTACAGCACAACATGGTGCCGCTGAGCAACGCAGAGGAGTACTGCAGTGCGCTGGTGGCTGGGAGGGTGAAAGTGGTGGTGGACAAAGACCCTTACCTGGGGCTATCAAGTTTTGAGGCGCCTCAAACTGGACGAAGACCCTTACCTGGGGTTATCAAGAGCAAGCATTGCCTCTTTCCGTCCCACACACCCCTCCTTCTGTTCCACCCTCCCCTCTCTGTACCTGTTACAGCACAACATGGTGCCGCTGAGCAACGCAGAGGAGTACAGCAGTGCGCTGGTGGCTGGGAGGGCGAGAGTGGTGGTGGATGAAGACCCGTATTTGGGGCTGCTCAGGGCGAACCACTGCAGTATGGCGCAAGTCAAACAACCCTACTCCTTCCTCAGCATGGGATTTGTGAGTGTGAGCGTAAGAGGGAGGGAGAGGGAGTGTGGGTGTGGGAGTGTGTGAGAGTGAGTGCGAGAGGGAGGGCGAGAGAGAGTGGTGGTGGAGGAGGATCCGTATTTGGATCTTCTGAGAGCCAACCACCGCAGCATGGCGCTAGTCAAACAGCCCTACTCCTTCCTCAGCATGGGATTTGTAAGTGGTGGAGTGTGGTGTGAGAGTGAGTGTGAGTGTGAGGGAGTGTGATGTGAGGGCCCATGTCTGGATCTGCTGGGAGTGAATCACTGCAGCATGGTGCAAGTCAAACAGCCCTACTCCTTCCTCAGCATGGCATTCGTGTGTGTGAGAGTGTGAGTGAGAGTGAGAGTGAGAGTGTGTAAGTTTGTGAGTGTGAGAGGGATGTGGACAAGGATCGGTCAGCAATAATATCTGCTGGGAGGGCATTGAGGAGTTCCTGAAGGGACTTACCACCAGCTTTACTAATCAGTTGGAAAAAAAAAAAAAAAAAAAAAAAAAAACAAGCAAGCAAACAAACAAACAAACAACAACAACTTTTCCTTGCATCCACCCTTCCCCATTTGCAGGCCTTCCAGAAGGGATCACAGCTGCGCCGAGACATCACAGCAGCGATTCTCCACCTCACCATGACAGGCGAGCTGGACCAGCTGGGAGACCCCAGGGAGTGCCCTGAAAGAGGAACTTCAAACCTAAAGCTCTCTGCATCCATCCTTCCCCCCTCCCAGGCCTTTCAAAAGGGATCGCAGCTCCGCAGGGACATCTCAGCGGCAATTCTCCACCTGACCATGACAGGCGAGCTGGACCAACTACAACAGCAGTACCTGCTGGGAGGGCCCCGGCAATGCCCTGACACGCTCATGCCCGAGGCCCCGGCGGTGCTGGCAAATGAGAACTTCTGGGGGCTGTTTGTGGGGTATGCCGTGGTGTCCCTCGCCTGCTGCCTGCTCTATTTTGGTCTGCTGGTGTTCCGTGGCGCCATGGTGGCTAGGTGAGTGAGACAGGGGTGGGGGGATGGGGATTGGGGAGTGGGGGCTGTTTGTGGGGTATGCCGTGGTGTCCCTCGCCTGCTGCCTGCTCTATTTTGGTCTGCTGGTGTTCCGTGGCGCCATGGAGGCTAGGTGAGTGAGACAGGGGTGGGGGGATGGGGATGGGGAGTGGGGATTGGGGAGTGGGGGCTGTTTGTGGGGTATGCCGTGGTGTCCCTCGCCTGCTGCCTACTGTACGTGGGGCTGCTGGTGTTCTGCGGTGCCATGGTGGCCAGGTGAGGGGGGGTTGGGAGTGGGTGGGGTTGGGGGTGGGAGTGGGAGTGGGAGTGGGTGGAGTTGGGGGTGGGAGTGGGAGTGGGGAGTGGGGAGTGGGGGGAGACAGTGTCCAGACACGCTGCCTGCTGTACTTTGGGCTGCTGGTGTTCCGTGCCGCCATGGTGGCTAGGTGAGGATGGGGTGGGGGATGGGGTGGGAGTGGTGTTAAGGATGGGGATGTGGGGCGGGGGTGGGGGAGTGAGAGTGCGGATGGGAGTGGGAGTGGGGATGGGAAACTGGTGACTCTCCATGCCTGTTATCACATGCTCTTACGCGTTTTCACGACTTGTTTCTCACACTCTGCTTTACCCCCCTTTTCTCCTGTCGCAGGGAGCTGTCGCGACAGCAAGCCAAGTCACACAACAGAGACATGGCAGCATTCGTCCCCACAGAAGCTGGCATGGAGATGCCTTGTCAACACACTCTCACACTCTCACTCTTCCCCCTGCGCGTGTCCTGTCGCAGGGAGCTGTCACGGCAGCAAGCCACGCCATACAACACTGACATGGCGGAATTCGTTCCCACGCAAGCAGCCAATCAACCTCCGTAAGCCGCGTTTTTTAAGCTTCTCACACTCTGCTTTCCCCCTCTGTCCGCTGCTCTACCCCCTCTTTCGCAGGGAGCTGTCGCGGCAGCAAGCCAAGTCATACAACGCCGACATGGTAGAATTCGTTTCCACACAAGCGGCAAATCAACCCGCACAAGCGACGCCTCCTCCTGCCGTTGCCTTTACGAGGGACTCGCTAGCACTTATAGAGGAGCTAGGGGAAGACGAGGATGAGGATGAAGAAGAGGAAAACTTTTACTCTGCCCATCTGAAGGGCGGTGATGCTGATGATGGCAATGGTGTGGGTGGTGGGAAGGGGGAAATACTTGTGGTCCCAGGACCCAAGGGGCATGCTCAGGCAGAGGGTGCTGAAGCAGGGGTTGAAGAATGTGGAACAGCAGTAGCGACAGCGATGGGAACAGCATCAGCAGCAGCAACAGTGTTGTCACCAGTGTCACCATTAACACGAGGGGCTTCAGAAATCACTGCAGCATCACCAATATCTCCAGAATCAGCAGCAGCAGAAGAACAAGCAGCAACACCAGCATCACCAATCGCAGGCTCATTAATAGTAGCATCTGTTGATGCTACCACAGGGCAGGGAGCAGCGCAGCGGCAGGCCAGCAAGCCCGCTATCAAAGTGGCAACGAGCTTTGAAAGGTCTCAAAAAGCGCAGCGGCAGTCAAGCAGACCGGGTATGAAAGTGGCTGCGAGCTTTGTGGCGGTGGCCTCTCTGCACAAGCGAGTGGGCAACCTCGTTGATCGCTTCCAAAAGGTGCCTCCCTCACTCCCTTCCTCGTTGATTTTTGTTTTGAACGCCCCAAGCAGGCCCTACTGCCCACAGAAGCCCCCAACCTCTTCAGTTACCCTTTGGTCCTTCCTGTTCACCCCCACCATTCGTGGGAGGGAAATTTGTTGCAGCGTATGTTTTTTGAGAATTCTAAAAAATCATACCCTGTTCACCCCCACCCTTTGAGAATTCTAAAAAAACATACCCTGTTCACCCCCACCCTTTGAGAATTCTAAAAAAACATACCCTGTTCACCCCCACCCTTTGAGAATTCTAAAAAAACATACCCTGTTCACCCCCACCCTTTGATAATTCTAAAAAAACATACCCTGTTCACCCCCACCCTTTGAGAATTCTAAAAAAACATACCCTGTTCCCCCCCACCCTTTGAGAATTCTAAAAAAGCATACCCTGTTCACCCCCACCCTTTGAGAATTCTAAAAAAACATACCCTGTTCACCCCCACCCTTTGAGAATTCTAAAAAAACATACCCTGTTCACCCCCACCCTTTGAGAATTCTAAAAAAACATACCCTGTTCACCCCCACCCTTTGAGAATTCTAAAAAAACATACCCTGTTCACCCCCACCCTTTGAGAATTCTAAAAAAACATACCCTGTTCACCCCCACCCTTTGAGAATTCTAAAAAAACATACCCTGTTCACCCCCACCCTTTGAGAATTCTAAAAAAACATACCCTGTTCACCCCCACCCTTTGAGAATTCTAAAAAAACATACCCTGTTCACCCCCACCCTTTGAGAATTCTAAAAAAACATACCCTGTTCCCCCCCACCCTTTGAGAATTCTAAAAAAACATACCCTGTTCACCCCCACCCTTTGAGAATTCTAAAAAAACATACCCTGTTCACCCCCACCCTTTGAGAATTCTAAAAAAACATACCCTGTTCACCCCCACCCTTTGAGAATTCTAAAAAAACATACCCTGTTCACCCCCACCCTTTGAGAATTCTAAAAAAACATACCCTGTTCACCCCCACCCTTTGAGAATTCTAAAAAAACATACCCTGTTCCCCCCCACCCTTTGAGAATTCTAAAAAAAATACCCTGTTCACCCCCACCCTTTGAGAATTCTAAAAAAACATACCCTGTTCACCCCCACCCTTTGAGAATTCTAAAAAAACATACCCTGTTCACCCCCACCCTTTGAGAATTCTAAAAAAACATACCCTGTTCACCCCCACCCTTTGAGAATTCTAAAAAAATATACCCTGTTCACCCCCACCCTTTGAGAATTCTAAAAAAACATACCCTGTTCACCCCCACCCTTTGAGAATTCTAAAAAAACATACCCTGTTCACCCCCACCCTTTGAGAATTCTAAAAAAACATACCCTGTTCCCCCCACCCTTTGAGAATTCTAAAAAAACATACCCTGTTCCCCCCCACCCTTTGAGAATTCTAAAAAAACATACCCTGTTCACCCCCACCCTTTGAGAATTCTAAAAAAACATACCCTGTTCCCCCCCACCCTTTGAGAATTCTAAAAAAACATACCCTGTTCACCCCCACCCTTTGAGAATTCTAAAAAAAATACCCTGTTCACCCCCACCCTTTGAGAATTCTAAAAAAACATACCCTGTTCACCCCCACCCTTTGAGAATGCTAAACATACCCTGTTCACCCCCACCCTTTGAGAATTCTAAAAAAACATACCCTGTTCGCCCCCACCACTAGCACGCATAGGGTCAAGAGTGGAGCAAGGAATGCCATGCAAGCTCAGCTGCCTCTGCTCTCACCTCCTCTTCCTCTGCTCTCACCTCCTCTTCCTCTGCTCTCACCTCCTCTTCCTCTGCTCTCACCTCCTCTTCCTCTGCTCTCACCTCCTCTTCCTCTGCTCCTCTCTCCTTAAGCCGACTCATAATCGGCTCTTTGAGTCGACTAAATTTTGCTCCCCGTCGACTCAAAACCTAAAACCTCCTGTTCGCCCCCACCACCTCCCCCCACAGGGTCAAGAGTGGAGCAAGGAGCGACATGCACGCGCATCTGCCTCTGGTATTACTGCATCTGCCTCTGGTATCACTGCCCCTGCCTCTGGTATCACCGCCTCTTCCTCCGCCACCTCACTCTGTGACATGGCCTCTGATGATCAGCCAGCAGCAGTGGGCAGTGGCAGCAGCAGTTTTGGCAGCACCAATCCCCACATGCTCCCGCACGTTCCCCTAGGCCGCCGCCCGGGAAAGAAATTGAGAGAAGCTAGGTTAACAGGTAGTCTGACGGCTGGTACCCCCAAAGCTGGAGACAGGCCCGGTGCCAGGCCGGTGGTCAGGTCCGGATCCGTACCTGACTTGGGTCTTCAAGCAGGGCCGGGAGCAGCACCGGCAGCGTCATCTTCTAATAAGCTGGTTTCTGTGTTGAGATCGAGCAAGCAGGTGCAGAAGCAAGGGCAGGTGATCAAAGTGCTGCCGTCTCGGCAATTGCCAGCTCCAGGTCATTTCAGTGGGCGGAACTTTTTTGACGTGGATGATGACGACGACGACGTGGATCTTGGTATATTTGAGGATGGAGACTCTGAGGATGACATGCCATTGCCGCAGCTGAAGTGAGCGTCTGCTCCTAGCTTATAAACAAAGAGGCTCCAGTCCAGAGCTGCTGAGTTCAATTAAGGTGAGATAAGGGTCAATATCCAGCATTTCTGTTCCGTTCTTGAACATTCACAGAAGTTCATGCATGCGTGTTTGTGTGTGTGGGTGTGTTTTTCTTTCCTTCTTTTCTTTCTCCCTGCAGGTGTGTTTTCTTCATGTAGGTTTTTAGTAAATGTTACCCATACCGTATGTGTTTTTGGTAATTGCTTAGAGAAATGACACCTGTCGGATCTGAGCATGTAGTGAGAGCAGCCGCTAGGTGGCTGTAGTCGAGAGCATGCTATTGCTGCTCGAACGCCTGCTGTCATTCCCCCTCCACCTGTTGCCTTCCGTCCAGTTGTCGCTTTCCTCCGCTTGTTGATGCAACGGAAGGCAACAGGTGGATTTTCTGAAGAGACAATGGACAATGGGAATGCCCCGAGTCGCGCAAGATGGAAAGAATCAACAAACGAACCTCGCGAAAGCCAGCAAGGAGGAGAAAGTTTTCGCGACAGCTGAAAAGGACAACAAACGACTTTAGCGAAATGCCTCGAAAAAGGATCTGCTAAGATCCATTTTCAACAAGTGGTGGCGCTATTGTGGCAGCGATTTGCAAGATCCCTAAGGAGTAAAGTAGGGTTACAAGGATTTCTTGGTCATAAAGCCGTGGTTCTGTCATTCCAGCTTATCTGTTTCAACCTGTGGGACGATGCTCATAAATGCTACACGAGTGTGTCATGTCAACGTGGGGTTGGGTGCAGTGCAGAGCTGCACGCACCAGTTTCGCATGGTTTTTGTAGGTGTACACAGTAAGCAGTTGACTGCCCTGAGGTACCTTCAGATTCTTCACGGACAACACACACGGAGGGTTACACGGTTCACTGCTCTTCACGGAGCTGGGTTCTGATTCTCACATGTGATGTTACATGACATCAGTCACCAGACGTAGACGAAAGTGAGTACACGAAGGAAGTGTCCGTCGGTGAGCCACCAAATGAGGCATGCCAGACGAATTTAGGACCGTCCGCCAATAGCGGTCTCCTCTCCACCACACGGCTAGTACAAGCCACGGTCCTCTCAACACAGCCAAAGTTGTCAAAGTCGAAACAAGACCGAGATAACAGGAGCTGAAACGAAACCTTGCCAAGATCTGACCTCATTGCCAAGGTTTCAAAAGCGAGTCTCTGGCATAGTCGTCGCTCTCTCATGTCCGTCCGCCTCGTGGTCTCGATTCTCAAATTATAAAGAGAGTCTAGACCTGTAACCGCTGCGATTCGCTCGTCTGAGCTGGACCTCCGTTGTCGGGTCGTCGTCGTCATCTTCATCTTTGTCGTGTCTCATTCGTCGTCGTCGTCGCCGTCGGCTCTTCCCTCAAACGGTCCCTCAGTCCGCTCTTCCCTCTCTCTCTCATGTCCGCGCGTCGCCATTGTGTGCCATCCACCGAACCCCCGCCAAACAATGAGGAGTCCCGGCGGCTGACGCATAGACTTGATTTCACCCACTATAGACCTCGCCCGCGGCCCCGCCATTGGGATCATCCGCACAATATAGAGCCTTCCTATGCTATACCTCGGCCGGAGTCGGAGTCGCACAGACTGTCAGGGGAGGCACACCTGGCGGCCTCCTCCCCCTCCCCGCGCCACGTGGCAGAAAAGCTCCCATTTCCGACTTTCGAGGCGCGTAAAGCGAAACCTTCCGCGCATTCCCGCTTGCCCTTCCATCCCCGTCTCTTTCGGCCGCAAATCACGCTGCTTCTCGCGGTTTTACTCTTACCCCCGCTATTATCACGGTCGGATTCGTCAAGCATCCCTGCGGGGGACTCTGACCACCGTTATTATCACGTACCCGGCGGATCCGCCCCCCCCTTATCCTCCGCCCTCCGCGACTCTCCGCAAGGTTCCGCGGATCATGGCGCGCCGCTGCGCGCCGGTAGTGTTAGGAGAAGTATTACTGGTGGATCCGCACTCGCCGCGGCGACCAGCGGTGTGCGCGCGGTGGTGTTACCGCTCGCCGTCTCGATTCCGCGCGCCGACACGATTCCGCAAAAGGATATTCCGAAAGACCAGGCGCAGACCTCACGTGACCTTATGCTTCGAGAGGTCGGACCGCGAGAATCGGAACGGCGAGTAGAGACGACAAGACTCCTTTCTTGGAAAGCCGCCAGCGCAAGTGGCGGCGGGCCCAACAGCGGAGTCGGAAGTAACGGTGCGGAGCACGGCGGGGAGCGCGGCGCGACTCGCGGCGCGACTCTCGGCGAGATTCGCGGGGTGCAGAAAGAGGGGGTGGATGGGAGGGAGGAGGTGACGTTGGGCTGTCTGATTCCCACCTACTCGCAAGACGGATTGAATATGCTCGCAGGTGATTAGGGTGATGGTGACGATAATGGTGATGATGATTGCACACAACCCCTCCCCACCACTCCCTACCCCTCCCTCTCTTTCTCCCCGTCCCATCAACCTTCGTCGCTGCCTTCTCCCACCCTGCCTGCCCCTCCCGCATGCGCCCATCCCCCCCCCCGCGTCCTCCATCCCCCTCCACTCAACCCCCATCCCCTCCCGCGTACCCCCCATCGCCTGACTTCTCCCCCTTTCCCCTCGCTTGCCCCTTATCCCCTCCCACTCGCCCGCCCGTTCCGCCTGTCCAGCAATCACCGTGGCAGTTGCTCACCCGATCCCCTTTCGCCTGCCCTCCATCCTCCCCTCGCTCTCCCATTCCACCTGTCCAGCAATCACCATGGCAGTTGCTGACGTCAACAACGACACCACCATCCTGCCACGTCAGCGCATCCGCCTGATCACCGGCAACATCAGCGCCAGCACGCCGTCCATGCTCAGCCAGCTGGCAGGTGCGCACGCGCTGACGTGGCACCAGCCCGTCCCTATTGAGCCGACTCAAGAGTCTGCTTGTGGCATCAGCCTAGACTCCTCTTCCTCTCCTCCCTTGTACTTGTTCCAACTTGCACTTCCTCACCACTCCTCTTGCTCTTGCACTGCCTTTGAAGCCACAGGAGCCACATCTGCCACATCAGCCACATTAGCCACTTCTGCCACATTAGCCACATCAGCCACATCTGCCACATCAGCCACATCACCCACATCACCCACATCGGATCCACCATATTATCCGTCATCACTCTTACCACTCTTCTATTTTTTCCCCCCTCCTCTCCTTCCCGTTCCTCTCCCTCTGCCCCTGCAGCCATGGCAACAGTGCAGCAGCGGCCAGTGGCAATCATAGGCCCAGGGACGTCCGACCAAGCAGCTCTCATCAGCCCACTTGCCACTGCCACCCATGTAAGCACACTAGTTGGACGCGAAGCTAGGCGCCTCGAAAGTGAATAGAGAAGGTTTTTGACGTTTGAGTCGACTCAAAAGTCACCTCAGTGCAGCAGTAGAGCGGCCAGTGGCATGGCAATCATAGGCCCGGGGACGTCCGACCAAGCAGCTCTCATCAGCCCACTTACCACTGCCACTCAGGTAAGCGCACGAGCTGTGCAACTTCTTTTCCTTTGGAAGGGTGTCTCACGCGGATTGAGATATCTTTTTCGAGGCTTCTGAAAACTCATCATCCCTACCAGCCAAGCTCAGTCTGACCCCATCCCCTCTGCTGCCTGTCCGCGGCAGCAACAGACGTGCAGCTGACGGTGGGGGATGCTCGGCTATATTTCATGCAGACCATTCCCGACGATGTTAAGAGATGAGACGACATCTGAGGTGCCTCAAAGTCGTCTCTCAAACTCCCTCACCCCGGCTGTTCATCCTCCCGCCCAGACCCCCTTAGTGTCCGCAGCAGCAACAGACGTGCAGCTCACGGTGGGGGGTGCTCGGCCATACTTCATGCGGACAATTCCCAACGATGGTGTTGACATGCAGGCCATAGCCGGTGAGAAAAGATGATCAGCTAGAGCAATGCATGCAGCCGACAGTGATGGGGGGGGGGGGGGGGGGGGTTGCTCAGCCGTACTTCATGCGGACAATTCCCAACGATGGCGATGACATGCAGGCCATAGCCGGTAAGACAAGGCAACGCATGCAGGAACAGTGGTGTGCAATTAGGTACAGTGGTGTGCAATTAGGTACAGTGGTGTGCAATTAGGTACAGTGGTGTGCAATTAGGTACAGTGGTGTGCAATTAGGTACAGTGGTGTGCAATTAGGTACAGTGGTGTGCAATTAGGTACAGTGGTGTGCAATTAGGTACAGTGGTGTGCAATTAGGTACAGTGGTGTGCAATTAGGTACAGTGGTGTGCAATTAGGTACAGTGGTGTGCAATTAGGTACAGTGGTGTG